GAATGTGGGACAGGGCTAGGAGTGAAGGTGTTCCCTCTCAGCCCATGAAGGCCCCACAGCAGAGGGGACTCGGTGTCTCCTGGACACAGGGCCCCATCCTGTGCCTCCACTGGAGATCATTCCCATTAGTCCTGATCTCTAGGCCGTTGCTCCCTTCCTGCACCTGCCAACATGTCCTGTCTAGATGTGCTGATACGACTGGTTGTGCCACAGTAAGAGTCAGTGCCAGGAAGCAGACTGGCTCTTCCTACTGTGTGCTAATCTAATTAAGCCCACCCTCCCAGGGTGAGGTTTCTGGAGCCTGTGTCCATCACACTGCAGGGTGAAGGGGCTTCATGGGCTTCACCCCTCCTGGACACCCACTGCTCTCATGAGCCTGCTCCTCCCAGACTCCTGCTTCTCCCCGTGCCCCACCCCTTCCTGCTCCTCTTTCCTCTGTATTCCTCACTGAGCCTGGATGCTCCATGCTACCTCCCAGAAGCCCACAGCTACTCCCTCCAGCCCTTTTCCTTCAGACCGGCACTTTTCCCCTCACCGGGCCCTTCTCTCACTCTGACCCCCTCTGACACCCATACCTCCTAATGCTAGCTTCTCCCTATACTCCACTCCCCTCTCATCCCCTCCCCTTCCCACATGCACTCCTCCCTAATGTCTCTAACCAGGAGATTTAGTTTCCCCTGCAAAGGGCAAAGGTGGGAAAAGAGAAAACAATCACAATTGCCTCTCAAAAGCAGAGGCTTTTGGTGTCTGAGAGTTGTGTGTCAGTGTGACTGCAGACCCCTCCCTGTGCTCAGGTGGATTACATTGCCAGAGCAAGAAAGATGACAGCTGGGGACACGGTGAGCTCTGCAGAAGCCCAAGGAATGGAGACGCTGGTATTCACCACCAGTATCCGACTCACCTGTATTGCCTTATTCTCATCCCCATGACCCTCAGATTCCCCCGAAAGCCCGGCATTTGAGAAATGCCATTTCAAGACCTCGCCCCTGTCTCCTTTCACCCCCCTCCAAACCTCCCCTCAGCTGCACCGCATTTGGGGGTGACCAATCCAGGAAAAAGGCAAGGAAGGCCCACAAAGGCTCAGGGGAGCTCCGAATATGGGAAGCATCAACTTGTCTGGGACCCTCTGGAGGAAAGAAACTTCCACAAGGCATCTGTCTACATCCCAGCTGTGCTAAATGTTTGCAAGGATGGGGGGCTTTAGTGGTGCCCCAGTGTTTATTCCCTTCAAAAACGGCATTACCTTACGTGACTTGATTCTCCGCTCTTCGAGATATCTTTGCAAACCATCCTCCCACCAAGTTCATTTCGGTATATTATGCAGAACAATTTAGCTTCCTGTCCCTTAGAGCTTCAGTTTCTAGGTTGAGAGTCGCACCCTGCAGGGAGGTAGCCCCAACTTCAAGTCCCATGTCCCCCAGTTACTCCCATTTAGTGGGGCATGGAGGGGAGGGAGGAGGCAAATTACTTCAGCTCTTTAATTTTTTTTCTTCATTGATTGGGGATGATAATGAGAATACTGATAATCCCTCCTTTATGTTTAAGTGAAATGACATTAGAAATGACTGGCACATACCAAGGGGTCAGAGCATGTTCACTGCTACTGTCATTATTTTGCGTGGTGCTCACTGCTGCCCAGGAGTCAGCACTGTGGCCTACTGTCTGCTGTCACCTTTCCTTTGTCTGCCAGTCTGTACAGGAGAAAGAAATGGGATACTGACTAGTGTCCCCACTGCCGTAGTGAAGCCATTGCTTCAGAAGGCACAGCTGATGCAGCAGGTTTGGATTTAAATAACTATTTTTCTCCCTCTGTCACCTAAGCTCTCTGCAACCCTGTCCACGCAAGTCACCTCAGCAAACACCCAAGACCAAAACTGAGAAGTGCTGTTAATGGTGTGGAGAACAGCACCGGTCAAAATAAGACCCAGAGCCCGAGCTTGCAGACTCTGGATAACAACTGGGTTCCCAGGGCAAACTGACACATTCCCTCCATCCTCATGGCAACCCATGTGAACGCCAGTTGGAAGGGAACTCAGAGAAGTGCTAGACTTCATGACTCAGGCGTGGGATGTGGGCTTAGAAACCAAAGAGAGAAGCAAGTGAAATGCTTCTATTTCAATAAGAATGTAATTTGGAGCATTATATTCAAATCGAAAATCCTTTAGCTGCTACTGCTGTTTTATTTCCATCCTGTTATGCCACCGAAACTTTGAATGTTTCAGTTAAAATGCATCACCTACATTAGCCATCATTCATGGTGATGCAGGGGATGTGATTGCACTCTTTGGGGGTCCACTCGCAGCCTGAAGTTGTACATCAAGCCCAACATGTGTGAACTTTTAGGATTTCCCTGACCTGCACCCCCTTTCCAAGCACTCTCCACCCATTTTGGCCTTTGCTCATCATTTCTCTCACCACTGCACAACTGATCTTCCCGATCAGGAGGCAGCTGCCACTGAAAAATAGTTTGCTAACCACAGACCTTAAAGGAAGGGAGTACACCATCCATTGTAGTGAATGGGCGGGGGGGTGGGGCACACAGGGAAGCACTAGCATTGGTCACAAGGAAGAAGGGAAACTGTGGGCAAGGAACTTTATTGTGGTTTCCATGGGAATGAATGGGCATATGGGAGGCTGGATAAGCAGGCTTTGGATGGGCTAGTTTGAATAATTAAAGGGGGCCCCGGGGTCTAGACTGCCCCTAGTTGCCTGGTACTCGAATATAGTTGAAATATTGGCCTGGAGTGTGAAAGCCCAGTAGTGAAGGCACTTGGGGGGTGAGCTCTGGATTGGTTGGTTTGCTTTTGGAAGGCACAATCTAGAGTTTGACAGAATTGTAGCCCTGGGGGAAAGGATGAAAGTCCCTCCAGGGTCAGCCAGGGTCCAGAAGCTAAAGCATGAGAAAACAGAAAATAAAAGACAGTTAATACACTTGGTTATGTCACTTGTTACTGGAAACTCAGTGGTTTTCATTGACTGAGGAGCTGGCATTCAAGTTTTTCTACATTCTGGTCACTGCCACAGAGTCGAGCCTTGCTCACCACTCTGTCCTTTTCCCCTCTAGAACCCTAAGTTCCACCAAAACTGCACTCCTCAGAGTTTCTCATCAATTCAGTAAAATCAATGCAATAAAAGCAACATCGTTGTATGATTTATTTTTCATGCCCCCTATCCAATATCTGTCTAGCCAAAGCCTATCTTTAATGTCACCTGATCTTTGAGAATTGGTGGTGGGGTGGGGGCCTGTTCACACAGATAATGCCATGCACAGAGCTCTGCCCATGTAAGTGCCTGGGAAAAAACTCTTCTGTTTCTTTTCATCCACTCAAATGCTATCTCTCCTTCAAGTTGCAGATAAAACCTCTATAAAGACTCCCCAGCCCTTTTGAATTTTCTTGCTTCCCCCCACCTTTGACTTTTTTTTTTTAATGGCCCTTATAGCTTAAAACTTATTTTGCTGATAGTTGTTTAGCATGTATTGGTTTTATCACTTTGCCTGTGAGCACCTGGAGAAGAACATCCAGGTATGTTCTTTGTCATTTCAGAGGCTTCTGTGCTCTAACACTCATGAGATCAGTGATAAGTAGGCATTGTTAGATTAGCAAGCACTGAGAACTGCCCTGTGAATCAGCAAAATGAGTACTGGATGGGATTTCATAAGACCTGTGCCTGGGATGGGTTCTTGAATTGATTTGCAATCCCACCTCTCATTGCCTACAAAGCCAGGATGTTTGCAAACATCTGTAAGTGTGTGAATTCAGAAGCTCCTGTATGTAACAGTGATTTCTCCTTCCCTGGTTAGGGAGTTTACTCACTTACCTTTGGATTTTCAGCTTGGATCCTTCTATAGTGGGGTTCAAGATGTCCCATGAATATGACCAAATTTTCAGACTTGATGTAGACTGGAATAGTGATTGCCAAAAGAATAAAAATTTAAAAATAGAATTTTCATGTTCAGTCTGATTTCTTTCCTTCACTTTTTTTTTTTTTTAAAGATTTTATTTATTCATTTGACAGAGAGAGACACAGCGAGAAAGGAAACACAAGCAGGGAGAGCGGGAGAGGGAAAAGCAGGCTTCCTGCGGAGCAGGGAGCCTGATGCGGGGCTCGATCCCAGGACCTTGGGATCATGACCTGAGCCGAAGGCAGACGCTTAACGACTCAGCCACCAAGGAGTCCCTTTTTTCCACTTTCTTACTGCATTACTTTGCAAACAAACAAAACAAAAACAGATGGACAAACAAACAAAAGTAGGATCATCTGCCTAAATACTTGCTTATTTTGTTGGCAGGCCTGTGGGGGTTGCACCATGGCCCATTTCCCCTCTCCTACATCCGGCTTTAGCTATAGGCTCCCATTTTCCCCAGACGAATATATCATCCTCTCAAGGTGATGATATGGCCTAGTTAGTGTGGAAATGGCTGTGGCATTCTGGAAGAAAAAGAAAATGTAATGAATAAGGCATAGAGACCTCCCACAGGTCATTGTGTCTCCAGTGCATGTTTATGGAGGGTTTGTATTTACAATTCTCACAGAGGGCAAGAGAGGAAAGTGGCTTACCTTGTAGAGAGAATCTGTAGATAGAGCTCCTCTGCTGTGGTTGGTAAAGATACATATCTGCCTGGTGGGAGATGCAGGACCTAAGGGAGTTTTCAGGGTCCTGCCAGCAACCTGATTTTATGATGACTTTATTTAAAGTTATTTTTTGACCTTTGTATCTGTGTGGCTATTGCTTAAATGCCAATTTGTCTAGTCCGGTTCTTACCTAAATAAAACAAAGGACTTAAAAAAAAAAAAAACAACGGGATTTATAGACATGATTTACACCTACTAAACCTAGTATTTGCATTTATGAGAAAGAAACCACTGTTTTCTACCCTGCCTGAAAATAATATCCATTTCTTCTGGATTCCAACCTGAATTTGACCAGTCATGAAGGAAATATGCCTGTGGCTGAGCACAAACTAATTTTTTTTCTTTTCTTTTTTTCCCCCAGGATTACACCTTAACCATGTATTTTCAACAATATTGGAGAGATAAAAGGCTTGCTTATTCTGGGATCCCTCTCAACCTCACGCTTGACAATCGAGTGGCTGACCAGCTATGGGTGCCTGACACATATTTCTTAAATGACAAAAAGTCATTTGTGCATGGAGTGACAGTGAAAAACCGCATGATCCGCCTTCACCCTGATGGGACGGTGCTGTATGGGCTCAGGTCTGTCTGTCTTTTCAGGGCCAATTTCGCAGTTGCATGATGCATTGGCATTGAATTTCTCACTTGAGATGATTATAGGGAGTGAGGCCACGTCCTCAGATTAATTAGGAGACAACCATGAAATACTGAGATTTGCACATACACACAAATCTTATAAATATAAGATTTGGGGCATTACAGTTACTATAAATAGTCACCATGCAAGGGAAAAACTTCCCCCTTGGATTGATTTTAAATAACTGGGTTGCCCTATCTAAGAACACAGATTCCCTGAGGACAGATTTCCTGTATCATAGCCACAAAGGCCTGAATTAATATTGCTCTGATGCTGCAGAGGTTCACAATAAAGTTTTCCCAAAGCTGTTTGCCGAGTTGAAAAAAATGTCTAGTTTGGCCATTATATGGATATAATGGTATAATGGATACAATGGATATCCATTATATGGATATATGGTATAATCTCCTCAGAGCTTCATGAGGTGGTGTCACCAATATTTATGGGAATGACTAAATGTGAGGCTTCCTGATGAGAATCATCTCTCACCAGGTCTCCTAATGAAATCTCTTGAATCAGGAAACCAGACTGCTGCCTGGAACCCTGAGGAGCCCCTGGGCTTCCCTGGTTACCCTGGAAACCACCAGACCTTCCCATGATGCTCCACCACTGCTGGTGGCTAATTATTTGAATATCATCACCCTTGTTAAATGGTGATCTTGAAAATCTTTTGTCTCTTGTGTTGATTTTGCAATGATTTTTCTGTTTTGTTTTGTTTTAGAGTAATTTGTGTGTCTGTGTCTGTGTATCTGTGTCTGGGGGTGGGTGGGTAGGTGTGGATGTGAGTGTGTATATGCACACGTGTGTGTCTTTCTTGATCCCCTGGCCTAAAAGTGCCTTTGAGATCTTCTAGGAGTGACCACGGTTTTGAGTAGGACACGGGTGGATATCTTGGAGAAAACATTTATCATAAAATTTTGTGAGTCCATAGGCCTTTAACTAAGACTCCCGCAGGTCTAAAGGAAATCATAACAACATATATTTAAATCCATATCATTGTGACTTTTACTGCTTCAAATGAGGAAAGGGGATTATTTAACATTGTCTTAAGTAGAAATTGTTGAGTGACTTTCTCAAAACAGCAATATATAGAATAAGAGAATTTTAGCAAAAAATCAGACTTTTTAACTGTAAGGGGAAAAAAGTGATGCATGTCAACCAAGCCATGGTATTACTGTGTTAAAAAAAAAAAAAGTTCAGATTGATGTTTCTCTGGGACATTTCAAGCATTTTGTATTTTTGCCTGGAAATAAAAAATGTGGATGTAAAATTCTGGAGGTTTTGACAAGTACATCAGTTCTACAAAAGATTACCCAGAAACCATGTGAGCATGAAATGAGGAGTCATGTCCCTCATTTATCTGCCCCCCAAAAAATGAATAGAAAAAGTGTGTATGTGTTGTGTGGGCTGGGGGGAAGAGCAAAAAGAAACAAATATCAATAAAAATTAAGCCTAGATTTCTTAGCTTTTTTAAAAGATTTATCTATTTATTTATTTTAGAGAAAGAGAGAGAATGAGAACATGATCAAGGTGGGGAGCAGAGGGGAAGGAGAAAGAGAGAAGCAGACTCACTGCTGAGCCTGAGGTGGAGCCTAAGGCAGGGCTCAATCTCAGGACCCTGAGATCATGACCTAAACTGAAATCAGGAGTCGGATGCTTAATCATCTGAGCCATCCAGGCGCCCCTAGGCTTCCTGTCTAAACAAAACTTGCTATTTGGGTTCTCTCCATTTTTATTTCTGCATTCTTTATTTTCTTACCAGAGGTAGAATACGTTAGTATACCTCTATTGAAACTTTAACTGTTAGGATAGTGCCTTAGTCTATTCTGGCTGCTCTAACAAAAGACCATAAGTTGGGTGGCTTATAAACAACAGACATTTATTTCTCACATTTCTGGAGCCTGCAATCCAAGATCAAGGTGCCAGTGTCGAGGGAGGGCCCACTTCCTCGTTCATAGTAGGCACTTTCTTGTTGTGTGCTCAGCTGGTGAAAGGGGCAAGGGAGTTCTGTGAGATCTCTTTTATAAGAACACTAATCCCATTCATGAAGGATCCACCCTCATGACTTAAGCTCCCACTTCCTAATACCACCACCTTTGGGGGTTAGGATTTCAACATATGAATTTAGTGGGGGGGACTTAAACATTCAGACCATAGTAGACAGAATGATATGATATGAATGAAAGAACTGTAATAAATTTCCAAGCTCTGTTTGGAAGTGTTGGATTTAACACCATAAAACATGCAAGAATAAGAAAAACCAAAAGAATAAAACTATATCCTTAGCTAATACTCTGCTTGTACATTTATATATAAAAGTTAAGTAATTATATAATAAGCTATGGGAAGTTTTCAATAATAAACTTGGTATAATAACTTTAAGAACTCTCCTGTCAAATTTATATCCATTATACATCTCAAACAGCCTCTTAAGTCAGTAAATGGATTTCTAAATAAATAGCTGTTTTTATTCAAATGTAGTCTTAATATACTCCTTAGATCTTTATTTAGAACCTCATATTTTTGAAACAATTCTTCAGATCTCTGTGGACCTGGACAAGCTGTCAGAAAGAAAATCTCTAAACAACAGACCGCCACATTCTGCACATGCTTAACAGCTACCCTGTGCCATCTGATTCCTTTTGAAATTGGCTAATCTAGAAATTTCTGCCTTTAGGTTTAAAAATCACACATAGCTATAGATATTAATTTGAGTTTGAAGTAATTTGAATTTTCAGACAAGAAGCACCTTAGTATTTCAAAATACTGATAATGTTATTAAATTCATGTATATACATATTCTGCATTATTTTGTGTGAACTGAAGTACCATTTATATGTATTCTATTTTATATACACACACACACACACACTCACATACGGTATATGTATCGTGTTTTCGGTAAAAAAACAGTGTGAGTGTTCACATTGGTAAGACACCCTCCATAGTCCTCTTGGCCCCAAACTTTATCATCCCTTTGCTCTTGTTCTCTTGTTGTGCTCACTGGATCATGTTAGTGACATGGCAAGCCAAGGATGGGCCAATGTATGAAACCCCAGTGATACAGTATATCCTTTTGGTATCTAGGTACCATGGCATGAACCTGAAGGAGGTCTGGTGCAACTGAGGACTTTAGCGAGTTAAACTCCCATGAAGGTTTATGGAGCACTAGGATTGTTGTTTATCTCCTGCTTTTACAGTGCTGCTGATGAAGTTCCAGCCCAATAGGGATTGCTTTCTCCCTGGATATATCTCTGAGATACTGGTTGTCCTGGCTGTACCCCTGAGACATTAAGGTTGATTTTTTTCTCCCCATTGGAGACTGGGATTGCCTTCACCTGGCTATAGAGCAGTTGGGTACAGTGGTAGGTCAATCACCGTTAAGCTTCCCTAGGCTCCTTTTCCTGTTCATGTCCAGCCATTGCAGTACAGGATCAATGAGGGCTTTTTCTTTATCAAGCGTAGATGAAGATCTCTGGCTGTGGATGAGCTATCCATGACGTAGGTTTGTACGTCATCTCAGTCTTATTCTGGGAAATCATTAATCCATTACTCTGATGATTCTGCAAAAGTGGTTGATGACTGCTCACACAGACAGTTGAGAATGATCATGTTCTTGTAGCGATAAAAGGTCATTATAAATCATGAACTATTTTTTCAATGACTCTTTTAGCCTCTTGAGTTTGAAACTTGAGCTAACACTACCTTGAGCTTATTGACTTGAGCTCAGCTGAATAAAACAGTGATCTGAACCTCTTACACATGTTTAAGTCACCATGTGATGTGAGAGAATGCTCTAGATAGAGTATACATACCATCCTAAAATAAAACTGGGGCTCTTTGAATTTCCTTTGGGCAGCCAAACCTTTTCAGGAACTAGGAAGATCTTGGCTAAGATGTTTATGGATCTTGGTCCTATTCCTGTCACAGTTTTTCTGTTTTCTTTGGTGCTGGGCTGGAGTTTTTTTGCTGCCTGTGAGAAGGCAGAGTCATCCCTCTCCTGCCTTCCCGTGTTTCTTTTTCAGTCAACTGATCATTTGATGTCACTGAATATCTCACCTAGCATCATTTTGTAACATGATCTTTTCTTCAGGCCATATACTTTGTCTTTGAACTTTTTTTTCTGATGCTAGGAATTGGTAATGGGTTCACAAAATAGTATTTGATTTGCTTCAAAAAGCACCTGAGAATCTAAGGTTGAGTCATCTTCATCAGAACAGTGTAGCCATGTTCTTCCTGAGAAGCTTATTGCAAAATTTGTTGGAAAATAAACCGCAATATTTCCACTTGCTATAAAAAATACTCAAAATTGTTAAAGTTGACAATCTGATAATGAAGAAGTTGAACGCAATGTTAAGATGAAACTACGACTTATTTCACAAGATTCAAATTAAGTCATCTAATTGGTTTGGCTGTCATCTTATTCTGAAACTGCTTTATACAGTGGTTCCGATCAGACATCTTTTTCCCCCAGAAAAGATGTAAGGTAACACAATTAATAAGGCCCATGTGAATTGAGCTCAGGTGTGCTTACTTCCCAAACTCCTGTTTCCCAGTCACTTTTATGTAAGTAAATAACTATTGATGAATTGCTTTCTAAAAAAGATTATGCTGGGACCCCTGCGTGGCTCAGTCAGTTAAGCATCAGACTCTTGATTTTGGCTCAGGTCATTCATGATCTCAGGGTTGTGGGATCGAACCCCATGTTGGGCTCTGTGCTCAGCACAGAGTCTGCTTGTCCCTCTCCCTCCCCCCGCTTGTGTGCTCTCTTTCCCTCTCTCTCAAATAAATAAATAAAATATTTTTTAAAAGAAGGATTATGCTGATTTTTACTCCTGCCAGCAATCAATTACATATTTAGGGTTGTGACACATGCTTTGGACTTTATCCTTATTTTGGCTACTGTAAATAACCTATCTATTTACCTCAGGGCTGGAGAAAATCG